ACCCTGCTGCTTTTCCCAGGGTGGGGACCAGAGGCTCAGTGCCAGGCAGGCATGGGGGCCAGGTGCTGGCAGCCCCAGGGTTTCCAGGGCCAGGGCAGAGGCAAGCAGCTGTTTCTGATGCCCCAGGAAGGACCCCAAGGTGTGCGGTCACAGCAGTGTTCTGGTCCTCACCCAGCACAGCCCCTATCAAGGGGGACCCATCCCCCTGCAGGGCTGCCAGGGCCTGGGCTGAGTGGGCACTGAAGCAGCACCCCAATGAGGGAGCCAGGCGTTGGGGTGCCTCAGCCCAGCCCTCCAGGCTTCCCTAAGGGCTGACTGCTGATGCCCTGTGCTCTGCTACCGACCTATTTTCCAGTACATTCTTAACTGGAAAACTTGTCCTAAATCCTGTTACTTGCTGTGTACCCAGGGCCCTACCCAGAGCGTCAAGGAGGCCCTTGGCACACACCACTGCATGGAGGAGTGAACTAATGAAGTGAATGAATGAATGAATATAATAAACTGGCTGCAGGGAAGGAGAGAGGCTTGCAGAGGCAGGGGCCACCTGCACCCCATCCCCCAGCACCCTTGTCCCTGGACTTAGACCCCCAAAGCATTTCAGGGATGCTGAGGTGGCCCTGTCTAGACTCTCAGCCTCCTGAGGGTCCCTGTCTTTCTCCCTGTGGACCCTCGGGCTGACTGAGTTGGGGTGGGTTACAGCGCTGGCTTCCAGGTGGGGCCCTCAGGGAGGGCACACGTCACACTCCTGTGCAAACCTGCACCTGCACCTCCGTGTTCTGTACATTTGATATTAAGAAATCATTAATTCATCTAGGTGCAAAAACAGTGTTTTAGTAACGCTTTATAGAAATCATATTTTACAGATATTTCTGAATTATTTATCAATGAAATAATATGTCTAGATTTGGTTCATACTACCAATGAAGGGAGGTTGGTGGTATTCTGGAGAGTAGGCTCTGGGCCTGGGGGCTGGGTTGTGGCACATGGGGCTTCGTCGTGCTATTCTCGCTACTTTTGTAAGGTTTTCAAAACTATGTGATAAATAATGACAGTTGGAGTCACTATCATGTGACCTCATGAGGCCCCACAATGTAGGCATCAGTGGCCCCTTTGCAGTCAAGGAAGTGGGTGTTGGTGTCAAGAGCATGAGCTCTCAGATTGTCATCTGACAATCTGAGAAGTGGGCACCATCTTCCCACTAAGTCCCCTGCACAGAGCCGCCGCCACCTTGTCAGTAAATACCTGTGCACGTTAGTTATCCGAAGCCCCCAGCCAGTGAGTGATGGGCTCAGAAATGGAACCCACTTTCTCTGCCTTTAAGCTTCTGGGAAATCCTCCTTTTTCTCAAAGGAGAAGAGAAAAGATACTAACCTCCTCTCCCAATGCCTTGGGCTTCCACAGCCCTGCCGGGGATTCGGAGCTGTCTCCACTGACAGACTTGGAAACTGAGGCTCAGAGGGGCCTAACTGCTTCGTCCACACCTATTCTCACAGTTCACAGGCAGTCACAGCTGGGACTCCGAAGCCTTCAGGCCCCAACCTCCAGGCTTCCTATGCCCACAGTGCTGCTACTGTCAGTGTTAAGAAGGAGCTCTGGTCCCTCCCACAAATGACAAAACAAAACCAAGCCCACCAGCCCTCGGGCATGTCCAGGACATCATCCCTTGACCTTGGTCTGCAGATACACAGGGTGGGCGGACCTGTTTCTCCCGGGGACCGGCCTTCGGGCTCCAGAGGAGGCCACTGTGTGTGGCTGGGGGACTGAGGTTCCCGTGTAGTTACAGAGCACAGGCTGGCCAGTGCCCCAGGCACCTGCTGGCTCCATGGAATGGGGCCTCTAGGAAATCAGGAGGTGGTGGGCCTTGCCAGGCAGGTGAGGAGTCTGCAATTGCATCCAAGTTGCGACCTAGGCCAGTGGAACCCGGAAAGCGCTTTTGGAAAAGGATCTGATTGGGAAGGGGGTTGTGAGCGCTTCTTCCGCTTACCGACTCCAAGGTCCTGCACAAAGGCCTCCACCGTCAGGGCAGCCAGCGGTCCAGGCACACCGACCCTCCCCGATGAGCGTGCGCCGGGCCGTGCCCGGAGCAACCACTCCCGCAGCTCGGGAGCCCCGGCGGGCTGCGCCCCTGCAAGCCCCGCGCCCCCACCGAGACCCACGTCAGCCCCACGCCCCGGCAGGGTCCCTGCCCACAGTCTCCGGCCCTAGCCCCCGAGACTCGCCTCTGGGTGAACAAAGCGGGCGAGCTAGCGACTGGCCAGTGTCACTCCCACGCCCCGCCGACAGGGACCCCAAACTCCAGCCCCGGAACGCCCCTCCCCCCTCCCCGGGGTCCCGGCTGGCTCGGCTGGGAGGGGGCTCGGAACGAAACTCCGGGCCACCCAACCTCGAATGCGCCCGGGCCGCGAGCGCGCAGAGAACAAGGAGGCGGAGACCGGCCTGTGCGCCCCCAGCCCGCGCGGGCACCGCTCCCAGGAGGCGTCCCTGGCCCGCCTGACAGGCCCCGCCCCCCACCTGCCAAAGGGCTCTCGGCGGCTCCGGCAGCGGGAAGGGGGGCCCTGTCGGGAGGGGCAGCGGCTTGCTGCGGGGAGGCGCCGCTTGGGGGTCCCGGGGGCTGGGGCTGAACTCGCCTCCGGCGCCGGCGCTTTCCGGGTGCTCCACGCGGCCGGCGGGGTCTAGGAGGGGCGCGGGCGACGGCAGCGTCTCCTGGCCCAGCTGTCCCAACAGCTGCGGCAGCGACTCACCCCGGCTCCGGGCGCAGCGCATCGGGGCAGCAACCGGGGGGCCGCGGCGGCGGGGAGGAGCCCGCGGGGCGGGGCGCGCAGCTGCTCCCGGGCCCCGGCCCCCTCCCAGCGCCCCCGCCAGCCGCAGGACAGGTGCGGCCCCGCCCGCACCCGCGCGCGCCCCCTGCCGGCCCCCGGTCCCGCCGCCCCCGCCCCCGCCCCCGCCCCGCCCCGCCCCCGCCGCCCCTCCCTCGCCTGCGGGGCCCTGTGGACCCCACCGGACCCGGCTGCGGACTTCAGACCCTGGCTCTGCGTCCTCGGTTCCTGCGCACTCACTCTGCAGCCGCGTCGCTCACGCGCTCCTGTTCTCCTCCAGGTCCGTGCGTGAGGGGACCCAGTGGGGCTGGCAGGGGGCACAGGAGGGCCTGAGTCGGGCAGGGTAATGGCAGAATCACAGAGCGCGCCGGACGGTGTGAATGAATCCACGCGGGGGTGGGTGGGGACGAGGCAGGCGCGCTCGCGGGGCTGGAGGGGGCGGGTGGGAGTGGGAGGCCGGGGTAGGACGGCTGGCCCGGGCTGCAGGGAGCGCCAGGGCAGCTCGGATGAAACCCATCAGCCAGCAAGCGCGGGGCTGCCTCTTGGAGCACACCCGCAAGCACCAAGCTCTGCGCCTCGTCGCGTGATGGGTGTCCCATCGCTTCTCCCAGTGACCGTAAGAAGGAGGTCTCCTTTCAGGCTAAGGAGCTAAGCACAGACACGGTAGGTAACCTGCCCGAGGACGCACAGCCGGGCGCTGGGAGGGTACCTCTGTAAGCCCGTGCTCTGCACTTTTGTTGTGCTGGCCCGCGCATGTAAAGTCAACACCAAGACAGAAGTGTGCCAAATTGCAAGGTCTTTATTGCCGGCGGCCACGGAGGACTCACATCTCTTCAACCCGTGGCTCCGAAAGGAGGGTGTCAAGACCTTTTATACCCGTAAAACCACCTCGGGAGTGAGGGTGAAGGGTAGGGGCGGGGGTGAGGGGCTTCAGATGTTCTGAGGGCTAGTGGATTCTGTAAATCACCTCCTGGGCGGAGATGAGGGTGAGGGGCTCCAGACATTCCGAGGGCCAGGGGACTTTGGACATTCTGATTGTTACTTAAGTGGTTCACAGAAGTCAAGATAAGCATTAGTTTACACGTTGCAGTGGGTAGGACAGAAATTACAGTCCTTAATTACTTATTACAAGTCGAAGGGGCCAGGATGGCATGGGTTTGGACTGCTTGCCTGTCACATCAGGGTTACAGAGAGCAATTTCAACAGAAAGCCGAGGTATGGTTGAGGTATGCAGTTTTATGGGGCCTTTACCATGTCACATTCTCCCCTTGTTTTATTTACAGGAATTAAATCATTGATTCCTACAACAGGTTAGTATTTTTTGTCGGCTTCTAAGGGAACATATTGAGACCTTAATATCATTAATTTTACAGAGTCTACCCTAGATTTTATGAACCTGAGCAGTTGGTTTAGGAGGCAGGGGCCAAACATGAGTCCCAGTATGAGTGGGAAAGATGTTTCCCATGTCCTATCCACACGTATATATTCTGAGACCCCAGGTTCGCCCCATTGTCCATCTACCATTTGGGGTAGTTACAGTTATCTTGAGTGGATTACAAGACCCAGTGTAGCATGGGGATGGGGGAGAGTCTTGGTTATAAGAGAAGGTCTATGTTTTTGGTGTACCCTGACATAGTGGAGATAGTTTCACAACCCCAGTGGGGGCAAAAGAATTCATTTAAGTCTCCACACTTTAATCAAAACAAACCAAACCCAAGTGTCAGGAAGTTTGGGAGTGGAAAGGTGCTGAACTTGACAGATGGACTTGAGCGGCCCAGACTGCAGGAGGGGCTGAGGCTCAGACGCCAGTGATGCATTGAGCTTCCACCAGCCAATCAGACCCTTTGCCCTGCTGCCCTGCCCAGACTGACTCCTGCCCAACTCCAGTTAGGGGGGTACAGCGTGCCTTCCAGCCTGGAAGTCAGCAGGGCAGGCTCATAGTTTCCAAGTTTCTTTAGTTTACAAGACAAAAAGCAGAACTGCTGCTTAAAAGCCTCTGAAATGATTTCATGACCCACTGGCCTCCAGGCCACCCTGAGGGTGTGGAGTCTCGCCTCTCAGGGAGTGCAGCTGTGGGGTGTGGGCTGCCCTGGGAAGTGGGGACAGGGATGGGCGTGGACCACCCAGAGTTGTTTGGGGTGGCAGGTTGTGTTTTCTCAAAATGGCCACAGCAGTAGTTCTGATCCCTTGTGTCTTCAGAACCTTCTGTTCCCTTGAAGACACTCCCTATCTGTGCTGCTTCTCCATAACCATGATTGGGGCTTGGGACTGCTCTGGCCAATAGAGGGCGGCAGAAGCGATGTCATGTGACTTTCAAGGCTGCATCTTGAGCAGCGTCCTGCTCTCTGGAAAGGCCCCTCTTGGAACTAGAACTTCCTCCATATTGTGAGGAAGCCCAGGCCACACGGGAGACCCCTGTGTGTGTTGCTGCTGGCGTTCCTACTGAGCCCTCTGCCAACAGCTGGCCTCAGCTGCCTACGTAAGTAAGCCCTCAAGGTTCCAGACCCTGCCTTTGAGCTTTCCTGGGGAGGGGGCGGTCAGTGGGGCTGAGGCAAGCTATCCCTACCTTGTCATGGCCAAGTTGCAGATTCATGAGCAAAACAAATGCCGTCATTGTTCTAAGCTACTGTGTTTTAGGGTTGTTACGCAGCTGTGGTAACTGTAACAGTAATTACTGTGTATGAATGATTCCCATTTGAGAGATGAATCAATGATACAGAGGGTGTCTCATCAAAGACTGCCCTGCTGGTAATAAGACTCCAGAGGACAGTGTCTGTTTATCTTTAACTTTTTATTAATAACATTAGGCAAACACAAAAGTAGAGAGAATGTCACAACTCACCCACATGTACATATCACCCTGAGTCAACAATCACCAAGTCATGGCCTGTCCACATTCACTTCCCTCCACTGCTGGGTCATTTTGAAGCAAACTGTATACATATTAGATCATTGCATTTGTAAATACTTCAATATTTATCTCTAAAAGAAAGTCCATTTGCTGGTGCAGTGACTCATGCCTGTAATCCCAGCACTTTGGGAGGCTAAGGTGGGAAGACAGCTTGAGCCCAGGAGTTTGAGACCAGCCTGGGCAACAAAGCAAGACACCATCTCTTCAAAAAATAAAAGTAAGAATATTAGCCAGGTAGAGTGGGTTGGAGGCAGAGGTGGGAGGATCGCTTGAGCCCAGGAGTCCAAGGCTGCAGTGACTATGATGGCATGTTTCAAAAAAAAAAGTCTAGTCTTCATAAACACTCTTGTTATCCTAACCTCCAGGCCTTCACTGAGTTGACGCAGTGGCTGGAGGCGGTTTACTTGGTGGGTAGTGGTGGCAGGAAGCATCAGAAATGAGATGGAGGGCAGTTGGTTTGTATTAAAACTTGCTCTGGGATTTTGCAGGAAACTCAGATGCCATTTATCTGGGTTTCTGAGCTGCACAGCTTGACGCTGAATGAAAGTATCTTAAGCCACGTATATGAAGAAAAGGCTTTTTTCCAAACATCTGAACTCAAGTTCAGTATGAAAAGGACAGGTTGCAGTGAGCCTTGTCGGGAGCCCCGGGAGCCAGCAGTCAGGGCTCCCTAAATGATTCATCTCTGCAATCCACACTGATAGACCAAGCTGTGCTCTTCCCTTGTGACAAATGCATACCCTGTCTAGGCTATCCTGAGCTAACCCTCCTATTCTTGCCCTTTTTGTTGAAAGGAATTATTGTTAATACAGCTATTTAATTCAGGACTCTTAGCCAGATTTCTAAAGCAAAAAGCCAATCAGCATGAAGCAGCTAGCATATTAGGCTTGTGAAGTAACTGTTAAATAATAATAATCACCCCACTGTGCTCTCCGGTGGCACTGTCTGACCTGCCAGGCTTCCCCTGGGAGACCCCTCCCACCCTATGCCTGGGGGAGGAGGCGTCTATCAGGCCAAAGGAGTCTGGCACGGTGATGCTGGCTCCTGCTTGCCCAGGCACAGTGACCCGCCAGACCTCACAAAGGCCTCAGGGCTGCTTACTATAAATAAATCACAGCTTTGTGCAGGCTGAGCCAGTGCAGTTCTTCCAACTGGCTGCTCCTCTCCAAGAACCATCCGTTCTTGGGTTGGCAAACAGGAAGCCTCTCATCACAGTGATTCTCAGATTCTCACCACTGTGTGGGTGCCTGAGGCCTGAGCAAGCCCAGCTCATGTGGCAGCTTCCTCCCTGAGCTGGACCTAAGTCCACCAAGCCTTCTTTCATTTCTCACACTTTGCCCTCAGCACAACTTTCTATGAGCATAGATTCTGGAATCTTCATCCACACAGGAGAACAAGAGCTGCTGCAAGAACTCCCGCCCTCCCCCCTTTTTTTTTTGTGACAGGGTCTGGGGTCTCACTCTGTTATCTAGGCTGGAGTGCAGTGGTGTGATCTCACTGCAGCCTCCACCTCCAGGGCTCCAACGATCCTCCCACCTCAACCTCCCAAGTAGATGACTACTTTTTTTTTTTTGAGACGGAGTTTCACTCTTGTTGCCTAGGCTGAAGTGCAATGGCACAATCTTGGCTCACGGCAACCCCTGCCTCCTGGGTTCAAGGATTCTCCTGCTTCAGCCTCCCAAGTAGCTGGGATTACAGGCATGCACCACCTCACCGGGCTAATTTTTGTATTTTTAGTAGAGATGGGGTTTCTCCATGTTGGCCAGGCTGGTCTTGAACTCCTGACCTCAGGTGATCCACCTGCCTCGGCCTCCCAAAGTGCTGGGATTACAGGCATGAGCCACCGAGCTGGCCAGGATGACCACTTTTTAAGAAGATGTTAAGGTTGAGAGCTTAGGGCCAGGTGGGGGGCTCACGTTGTGCTCCCCGCACTTTCGGAGGCCAAGGCAGGAGGATTGCTTGAGGCCAGGAGTTAGAGACCAGTCTGGTCAACAAAGTAAGACCCCGTCTCTATAAAAATGTTTTTTTTAAAAAGCCGGGTGTGGTGTCTCACACCTGTAGTCCCAGCTTCTCAGGAGGCCGAAGTGGGAGGATTGCTTGAGGCCAGGAGGTTGAGGATGCAGTGAGTTGTGATCACAGCCTAGGAGACAGAAGGAGATCTTGTCTAAAAAAAATTGGCTCGCGCCTGTAATCCCAGCACTTTGGGAGGCCAAGGCACGTGGATAATGAGGTCAAGAGATCGAGACCATCCTAGCCAACATGGTGAAATCCCATTTCTACTAAAAATACAAAAATTAGCCAGGAGTGGTGACATGAACCCGTAGTCCCAGCTACTCGGGAGGCTGAGGCAGAATTGCTTGAACCCAGGACATGGAGGTTGCAGTGAACCGAGATTATGCCACTGCACTCCAGCTTGGGCAACAGAGTGAGACTCCTTGTCCGAAAAAAAAAAAAAAGAAAAAGAAGTATCTGCTTATGACAGCCTTCTGGGTGACATAGATGGTTGTATGCAGGAAACAGGGTGGTTTCAGGGACGGGAAATTCACTTTAGATACTGTAAAATGGCCAGTAGTTTTCAGAAGAGAGACTTGCTAGAAAAGGAAGTGGCAGCTGTTTTCTGCAGGGCCTGTCTGGAAGCCTCTGGTTTCTCATCATCCCTGAGGACTGGAGAAGAGCAGTTTATTTTTGTGAAGGGGATACTTCCTGGTTTTTCTTTCCTATTCCTGTGTTTTGAGTGTGCCTAAACCCGCCAACGAGGCAGCTGGGAGGTCCCCTCAAGGTGGGCGGGGGCGGTGAGTCCCGGGGGTAGAGTCTCTGCCCAGGTTTGAATCTCATGTGGGTGACGTCCCCGAGCTTTGGGTGGCAGGCAGATGGATCATTCATTCACAGGTCCTTCATTCGCTCATTCAGCCACTGAGCACCTGCCGGGAGCCGTACTGGGCGCTGAAGGATAGAAGTGAACGGTCCTCCCTCTTGGAGCTGAGGTTCCCGCAAAAAAAACCAGAACGCGTCCTGCAGCGAAAGGCTTCCGTGCCGCCAGCGGGATCTTCCCAACCTTTGGGAAGATCCCTAATGGCTCCTCCTGACGCCCGTCTCTAGGGACGCACGCCCGTCTCTAGGGACCCACGCCCTCCTTTGGCTGCCGCCGGGCGGAGTCTCGCGAGATCTTGTGACTTACCGCGGCATCGCCCAACGGTTGCCGGGAAACGGCGCGGCTTCTGCGGAACTGGCGCTTTGGACTCGGGTAGCGGCTGGGCTTGTCCGCCGGCGTCATGGTGAGCAAGGGCGGGAGGCGGGCTGAGGTCCTCGCCAGGGGCCCGGAGGGCTCGGGGCAGGGAGACCTGGGTGCACAGAGACCCCGGAAGAGGAGGCCCGGAGTGCGGGGATTCTGAAATGGGGGACCCCGTGGGGCAAACTCAAGCTGCTCCCGGCCCCGGGCCCTGCCTGCACTAGGAGCTGAGACCAGGGCTGGTCGTAGAACGCCCAGGGTCCGCGGCGCGCGGTGCCCGGTGCCCGGGAGAGTGGACGAGCGTCAGGGGGGCTTCCGTCCTGGGGTGGAGACTCGCCTCTGTTGGCTCCCCGGGACCCTAGGGTTGCACCTCACAGGGGCTTTGCAGCGCACCGGGGTACCCCGGGAATCGAGTCGGAGGCAGCGAATTGCCCTGGGACCTTTGGGTTCCGGGATGGAGAGCCTGGGGCACACCAGAGTGGCTCGAGGTCCCTCTCCACCAAGGAGGCCAGGACGTGCCCATTGCCCGTGGACTGCTCAGTTCCTCGGGATACAGGAACCACTGCTCCCTTGGAAAGCCTGGCAGCGTACCGGGAAGAGCAAGGCAGAGCTCTTGGCCTCATCAGCTCCATCTATGTCTTTTTCCTGTAAAGGGCTCTCCCTTTATGATACAAGAGTTGTCAGTAACTCCAGTTTCTGGGCAAGGTGTGGCAGGGTGGGTTTCAGCTGTTGGGGGAGGAAAGCTCTCATAGCCCAACCAAGTTCCTGCAGCTGTCTGTGAATGTCCCAGATGCTCAGTGATACTGAACCTTTCCTCCCTGGCTTTTAGGGCTTTTTGATGAGGTGGCCTTCTTGGAGTGGAGGGAGTAGAGAGAGCAGTACGTTAAATATTAAGATCTAAGTGGATGGGTTTTCTGAACCAGGAAGGGTCTTCTGAAAACCAACTGGAAAATAAACTAGGAAACTAGGCTGGGAGGCCAGGCGCAGTGGCTCACACCTTTAATCCCACCACTTTGGGAGGCTGAGGTGGGCGGATCATGAGGTCAGGAGATCAAGGCCATCCTGGCCAACATGATGAAATCCAGTCTTTACTAAAAACACAAAAAATAGCTGGGCATGTTGGCACGTGCATGTAGTCCCAGTTATTGAGGAGGCTGAGGCAGGACAATCGGTTGAACCCAGGAGGCGGAGGTTGCAGTGAGCTGAGATGGTGTCACTGCACTCAGTGAGATGCCTCGGTGACAGAGTAAGACTCTGTCTCTAGGGAAAAAAGAAAAAAAAAAAAGCGTGGGCTCAGTGGCTCACGGCTGTAAACCTAGCACTTTAGAAGTCTGAGGTGGGCAGATCTCTTGAGGTCAGGAGCTCGAGACCAGCCTGGCCAACATAGTGAAACCTTGTCTCTACTGAAATTGTAAAAATTAGCTGAGCACATGTAATCCCAGCTACTTGGGAGGCTCAGGCAGGAGAATCGCTTGAACCTGGGAGGTGGAAGTTGCAATGAGCTGAAATTGTGCCACTGCACTCCAGCCTGAGTGACAGAGTGAGACTCTAAGAAACAACAACAACAAAACAACAAAAAACTACCAAACTACTTTATTTATTCATTCATTCATTCATTTAATTTTTTTGAGACGGAGATTCACTCTTGTTGCCTAGGCCGGAGTGCAGTAGCGTGATCTTGGCTCACTGCAACCTGCGTCTCCCAGGTTCTAGTGGTTCTCCTGCTTCAGCCTCCATAGTAGCTGGGATTACAGTTGCCCATTATCATGCCAAGCTAATTTTGTGTATTTTTAGTAGAGATAGAGTTTCACTATGTTGGCCAGGCTGGTCTTGAACTTCTGACCTTACGTGATCCACCTGCCTTAGCCTCCCAAAGTTTTGGGATTATAGGTGTGAGCCACCATGCCCGGCTAAACTACTTCTGTTTACACTAGCTTGTGAGAATATGGTTCATGGTCTGTTGGATCCTTGGGACCAAGGAATATGGGTAATATTTCTTTTTTCTTCTCATCAGTGTTTTCTAACATTTCCACATAATATTTTTTTTCTTTTTTTTTTTTTTGAGGCAGAGTCTCACTCTGTCACCCAGGCTGGACATATCTCAGCTCCTCATAATATTTTCACTCAGGACTAAATGAAACATAAATTAAAATAAATGGGCTGGGCATGGTGGCTCACGCCTGTAATCCTAACACTTTGGGAGGCCTAGGCGGGTGGATCACCTGAGATCAAGAGTTTGAGACCAGCCTGGTCAACATGGTGAAACCTTCGTCTCTACTAAAAATACAAATAAAATTAGCTAGGTGTGGTTGCAGGTGCCTGTAGGCTCAGCTACCTGGGGAGGCTGAGGCAGGATAATCGCTTGAACTGAGGAGTCAAAGGTTGCAGTGAGCCAGGATGGTGCCATTGCACTCCAGCCTGGGTGACAGAGGGAGGCTCCATCTCAAAAAAAAAAAAAAAAAAAAAGGATAAATGGATTTAGATTTTAATGTTTTGAAATAATAAATAAAATTTCCACATGTAATTTGTAATTATAAAAATGTTCCACAGCTGGGCGCAGAGGCAATGCACTTCCCTAGTCCCAGCTACCGGGGAGACTGAGGTGGGAGTATTCATTTGAGCCCGGCATTTGGAGGCTGCAGTGAGCTGTAATCACACCACTGCACTCCAGCTTGGGTGACGGAATAAGATCTTGTGCTCAAAACAGGTTACCGAGACATGTAGACACAGAAAAGCATAGGCTGAAGACCACTGGGAGTGGCAAAGTCAGAAGGATAGGCTGTGGAAATTCGGTATCGGCTGAGTGTTCTGTGAGTGGGTGACCGAGGATAGGCAGTGGAAATTCATTATTGCTGAGTGTTCTGTGAGTGGGTGACCGAGGATAGGCTGTGGAAATTGAGTATCTGCTGAGTGTTCTGTGAGTGGGTGACCGAGGATAGGCTGTGGAAATTGAGTATCTGCTGAGTGTTCTGTGAGTGGGTGACCGAGGATAGGCTGTGGAAATTGAGTATCTGCTGAGTGTTCTGTGAGTGGGTGACCGAGGATGGCTGTGGAAATTCGGTATCTGCTGAGTGCTCTGTGAGTGGGTGACGGAGGATAGGCTGTGGAAATTCGGTATCTGCTGAGTGCTGTGAGTGAGTGACCAGACAGAACTGCTCGTGGTGTCATGCTTCGTTTTAGCAACTTTCACAAGGGAGTGGGGTTAGAAAGTTCTCTCTCCCAACCTTGTCAAAGTTGCTAAAACCGCACACAACGCCATGTGCAGTTCCGTCTGGCAACCCATTTACGGAGCACTCATGGTGGGTGCTTTCTGCCCAAGCTTTGTTGACCAGGCTTCTCTGAAGGAATTTTCTGTTTGGAAGAAAGGAAACCTCTGGTTGTCACAGCTGGTTATGGTTATGGAGGCCTTTCTCCCTATACTTACTGAATGGCTTCCTGGATGTCTTTCCATGGTGGTTTCTAAGCATTGCAGCCAACGTGGTAACATTTGGCAGTGTGGTATTGGGGTTCTTCCCTGTGGAGCCCAAGTACATTTTGCATCCACAGCAGAGGTGTTTACTATTACCTAAGGGGTGAGTGGGTTTGGAATGGGCTCCCCTTGTCAGTAGTTTTTGGAGACAGAGGTCTTAGTCTGCTGCCCAGGCCTGAAGTGCAGTGATGCAGCCATAGCTCACTGTAGCCTTAAACTTCTAGATTCAAGTGATCCTCCTGCCTTGGCCTCCCAGAGTGCTGGGATTACACATGTGAGGCACTGCACCTGGCCACCACAGACCAAGGAATCAGTGGTTTTAGAATGGCATTCCCTCTCTTTTCTAGAAGGAATGTTCTTCTTTAGAGGAAGGTTTCTCCTTTGTGCTTCTCCAAATGCAACCACAGGATATGTGTGTGTGGTTGAGGGTGGGAACACTCAGGGTCAGTGATATGCTTCAGGTGAGCAGGAGGGAGAGAGGTTCCAGAACCTTCTCTGCCAAATGCTCCTGTGAGCAAATCAGAGCCAATCAAGAGGGGGAAGCTGTTAGAGTCTCTCTTACCCAATTATCTCCAAAGGCGCCCAAAAAGAAAGGGAAGAAAGGCAAAGCCAAAGGCACTCCAGTTGTCGATGGACTCACCCCAGAGGACATGAGCAAGGAGCAGGTGAGCAGAGCCGGCTGTGGCCCAGTCCCAGGGTGGGTGCAACGCAGGGTCAGGTGGGCAGAGCAGGCTGTGGCCCAGTCCCGGGGTGGGCGCCATGCAGGGTCAGGTGGGCAGAGCCGGCTGTGGCCCAGTCCCGGGGTGGGCGGGCGCCACACAGGGTCAGGTGGGCAGAGCCGGCTGTGGCCCAGTCCTGGGGTGGGCAGGTGCCATGCAGGGTCAGGTGGGCAGAGCCGGCTGTGGCCTAGTCCCTGGGTGGGCGGGTGCTATGCAGGGTCAGGTGGGCAGAGTCGGCTGTGGCCCAGTCCCGGGGTGGGCGCAACGCAGGGTCAGGTGGGCTGAGTCGGCTGTGGCCCAGTCCTGTGGTGGGTGGGCACCACGCAGGGTCAGATGGGCAGAGCCAGCTGTGGCCTAGTCCTGGGGTGGGTGCCACGCAGGGTTCCTGTGTGAACCTCTCACGTGGCTGCACCATTTGTCCATCTCACCATGTGGATCTACTCCTCTGTGCAAGCCAGAACGAGCACCCCAGCCTGGTCCATAATTCCCATCAGCTGCAAAGCTTTCACGTGGACTATGTGTTTTCAAAAAGGCAATAGAACCCATTATAGAACGTTTTAATAGGGCGGTAGGAATTTGGAAGGACAAGTTTTTCTGATTTAAAAGCTATTTTTAATTTTGAGTATTCTCTTTCAATCTACCCTTTTTTCCAACTGTTGTGTATAGACTTATCATAGCACACACACGTAGCATTCTCCTTTATTTTATTCACAATTAAATATTATCTCAAAAAGGAAGGTTTTAAAAGAAAGATGAGTTACTTAAAATCACATCTCAGCCTGATTGATCATTCATTGTTTTTGATATAAGTCCCATCAGGGCTGCCTTTTTCTTCTTGGCTGTGCTTATTTTGAGGAGGAGGTGATGTTTCTATAGTTTCTTTGTAGGAATTATTTCAAGTCCATTCTTCATTTTAATGCAGTTAAGGGCTACAGAACATAATTATGTAATTACAATTTTACCTAAGAGGCTCCTGAAACCTGCTTGCTGTGGTGAGTACAGTGCAGCCTCTAGCCTCTGCCCTGATGGATGACTGCCCCATGAGCCTCTGACACAGGTACATGAGTGCTGTGTCAGCTCATGTGTTATTGTAATAATTGTTACCTTCTTTTGATAGTATTAAGATAAAAAGTAAATATGAAGGAGACTAGAAGAGTCATATGACCTGAAGTTGGAGCTGGGCAGAGGTCCTTGAACTGTGCTAAAGAACGGCTGTGTTTTACATGCAGGGAAAGTGTGGGCAGTTCAAGCCGGGGGCTGAGTGAAGGGGTGATGGGGTGAGGTTTGTGTTCTGGAAAGGTGTCTGGAGCTGCTGGGTGGAGAGTGGATTGTTGCCTTGTCCTAGCGTGTGAGCTGCTGCCGCCTCCCTGTTTGCTTCCCCTCCCTGTGGAGACAGGCCTTGCACGGCAGTGGCTGTACAGTCCATTGGGCAGGGTCTTGCACTGCGCATGGCACACAGAGCCACAGACTAAGAAGACATCTTCAGGGTCCAGGCAGAGGGTAGGGCTGGAGGTGACCTGGACACGCCTGGCTGGAGGGGCCTGTGAGCAAATCAGAGCCAATCAAGAGGGGGAAGCTGTTAGAGTCTCTCTTACCCAATTATCTCCAAAGGCGCCCAAAAAGAAAGGGGCTGTGCCCAAAAAATAACTGATTCTTAAGGGAAATGAGCTCCACAGAAAGCTGGAAGCCTGTCCTACATTTTTTTTAACCTATTTGCAGATTTGCAGTTGAATCCTCTTGAGGGTTAGGAGTCTGCTGGTCTTGTATATTTTTTGCTTAACATTTTATCTTTAAAGGTGATTTTTTTTTCATTTAACATTATATGAATTTTTTTAAATGCTGCTACTTTATTTGCGTATTTGTTTTTTGGGTGATGTGATATTTCTCCCAGTTGATATACTCTTAAGTTTTCAACCATTGCAGTATTCATTTATTTATGTTTTAGAGACAGGGTCCTGCTCTGTCACCCAGGGCGGAGTGCAGTGGTGTGATCACGGCTCACTGCAGCCTCGAGCTCCCAGGTTCAAGCGACCATCCTCCCAAAGTGTTCCTAGTTGCTGTGATTATAGGCACGTGCCACCACTCCTGGCTAATTTTTATTTTTCTGTTTTGTAGAGACGGGGTTTTGCCATGTTGCCTAGGCTGGTCAACTCTCAGGCTCAAAAGATCCTCCTGCTTTGGCCTCCCAAAATGCTGGGAGCCACCGTACCTGGCTGTTTATTTTTTGAGACAGAATCTCAGTCTGTCAACCAGGTTCGAGTATAGTGGCTTTATCATGACTAACTGCAGCCTCAACCTCCTGGGCTTAAGTGACTCTCCCACCTCAGCTTTCCCAGTAACCGAGACTACAGGTGCGTGCCATGACATCTGGCTAATTAAAAAAATTTTTTTTTTTGCAGAGATGGGGTCTTGCTATGTTGCCCAAGCTGGCTTAAACTCCTGGGCTCAAGGGATCCTTCCACCTCAGCCTCCCAAAGTGCTGGGATTGCAGGCGAGAGCCGCTACCTCTAGCCCATTCCCTGTTTACATTGGTCTCAGATTGTTTCCTCTAACATTTTTGCTCTTGTAATAATGGTGTGGGTAATATCTTTCAGCAACAAGCTCTTATATTTCTTTCGAGAAATTTCTTAGGTATAAATTCTCAGAAATGGATGAAAGGATATAGTTATTTTATGTTTATTGGCCAAATAGAAGAGAATTCTGCCACTTGTTGAATGTATTCTGTCTCTGGAGCTTCCTAGCTTTATATCTTAACTTTTTATGTTCAGCTGTTTAATTTTAGGTGAAAATGGGTCCACCCTCTTTGTTCCTTGCCCTTCTCCGGCCACCTGCCCCTCTGCTATGCACAGGCCCTTGCCCAGTGCTCAGCTGACCCACTGCACCTGGCCAGGTGGAGGAACATGTGGGCCGTATCCGAGAGGAGCTGGACCGTGAGCGGGAGGAGCGCAACTACTTCCAGCTGGAGCGGGACAAGATCCACACCTTCTGGGAGATCACCCGGAGGCAGCTGGAGGAGAAGAAGGCTGAGCTCAGGAACAAAGATCGGGAGATGGAAGAGGCCGAGGAGAGGCACCAAGTGGAGATCAAGGTGAGTGGGGCCAGCCTGCCCGTGCCCACCTGGTCACCACACAGCCACAGAGGAGCTGGGCCCACTGAGGGTGAGGGTGGGGCACTGTCTGTCGTCAGCTTTGGGAGTCACAGCCCTGAAGGTGTTTTTTATAAAAGAGGCCGAGGGAGAGACGCTTCATCTCTCCAATGTCAGGTGAGACCCTGCAGGTCCTGAGGTTTAACATGCAGCCTCCACAACATGGAAGGAGCATGGGCTCTGGGGGCAGGCTGGCCTGTTTGCAACTCAGCTCTGCCCCTCAGCACCCCGTGAGCTGGGGATGCACCTCACCTCCCAGCATTGGTGTCTGACTCTGCCTCAAATGTGCAGGTTTGCTTAAGTGAACAGGCATGTGTAGCTGTGTGCAGGTGAGGAGTCATGCAAGGGAGCAGGTGGATGCAAGTGAGCAGGTATGTGCAGGTGAGGAGGTGTGTGCAGGTGAGGAGGTGTGTGCAAGTGAGGAGGTATGTGCAGGTGAGGAGGTGTGTGCAGGTGAGGAGGTGGATGCAGGTGAGGAGGTGGGTGCAGGTGAGTAGATGGTGCAGGTGAGCAGGTGGATGCAAATGAGCAGGTGTGTGCAGGTGAGGAGGCATGGGCAGGTGAGTAGATGATGCAAGTGAGTAGGTGGATGCAAATGAGCAGATGTGTGCAGGTGAGGAGATGTGTACATGTGATTAGATGGTGCAGGTGGTTAGATGGTGCAGGTAAGCAGGTGGATTCAAGTGTGCAGGTGTGTACAGGTGAAGCATGGGCAGGTGAGATATAGGCAGGTGAGCAGATGGTTCAGGTGAGCAGGTGTGTGCAGGTGAGGCGTGGGCAGGTCAGGAGGTATGGACAGGTCAGCAGACGGTGCAGGTGAAGCAGGTGGATGCAAGTGGGCAAGTGTGTGCAGGTGAGGAGGCATGGGCAGGTGAGCAGATGGCACACGTAATACAGGTGAGGAGGTGATGCAGGTCAGCAGGTGGGGCAGGTATGTGCAGATGAGGAGGTGTCAGCAGGTGGGTGCAGGTAAGCAGGTGTGTGCAAGTGACCAGGTGCATACAGATGTGTACAGGTGGGCAGGTGGGTACAAGTGACCACAGTGTGTACAGGTGTGTGCAGGTGAGGAAGCGTGAAAGTGAGCAGATGGTGCAGGTGAGCAAGAGGGTGCAAGTGACCAGGTATGTACAGGTGAGCAGGTGTGGTTAGGTGAGCAGGTGGGTGCAAGTGACCAGGTGTGTACAGGTAAGGTGTGGTGCAGGTGAGCAGATGTTTACAGGTGAGGAGGTATGGTGTAGGTGAGCAGGTGGGTGTAGGTGAGCAGGTGGGTGCAGGTGAGCAGGTGTGTAGGTGAGCAGGTGTGTAGGTGAGCAGCTGTGGTGTAGGTGAGCATGTGTGGAGCAGGTGTATGGGTCAGGTGTGTAGGTGAGCAGGTGTGTAGGTGAGCAGGTGTGTTGCACATAAGGTGTGTAGGTGAGCAGCTGTGGTGTAGGTGAGCAGGTGTGATGCAGGTGAGAAGGTGTACAGGTGAGCAGGTGTGTAGGTGAGCGGCTATGGTGTAGGTGAGCAGTTGTGTACGGGTGAGCAGGTGTGCAGGTGAGGTGTGTAGGTGAACAACTCTGGTGTAGGTGAGCAGGTGTGGTGCAGGTGAGGAGGTGTGCAGGTGAGCAGATAATGGTGCAGGTGAGCAGGTGTGGTGCAGGTGAGGAGGTGTGTAGGTGAACAGCTGTGGTGTAGGTGTGCAGGTAAGCAGGTGTTTAGGTGAGCAGCTGTGGTGCAGGTGAGCTACAGGTGAGCAGGTGTGGTGCAGGTGAGCTACGGGTTAGCAGGTGTGGTGCAGGTGAGCAGATGTGGTGCAGGTGTGTAGGTGAGCAGGTGTGCAGGTGAGAAGGTGTGTAGGTGAGCAGGTATGGTGCAGGTGAGAAGGTGTGTAGGTGAGCAGGTGTGGTGCAGGTGAGGAGGTATGGTGTAGGTGAGCAGATGTGATGCAGGTGAGCAGGTGTACGGATGAGCAGGTGTGGTGCAGGTGAGGAGATGTGTAGGTGAACAGCTGTGGTGTAGGTGAACAGCTGTGGTGTAGGTGAGCAGGTGTGCAGGTAAGCAGGTGTGTAGGTGAGCAGGTGTGGTGCAGGTGAGCAGGTATGGGTGAGCAGGTGTGGTGCAGGTGAGGAGGCGTGTAGGTGAATAGCTGTGGTGCAGGTGAGCAGGTGGTACTCCATTGCCCTGCAGGTGTACAAGCAGAAAGTGAAGCACCTGCTCTATGAGCACCAGAACAACCTGACAGAGATGAAGGCTGAGGGCACCGTGATCATGAAGCTGGCACAGAAGGAGCACCACACTCAGGAGGGTGCGCTGCGCAAGGATATGCGGGCGCTGAAGGTGGAGCTCAAGGAGCAGGAGCTGGCCAATGAGGTGGTGGTGAAGAACCTGCGGCTGGTAGGTGTGATGGGGGCACGTGGGGGCTGACAGATCGTTGGGGACGCAAGCCCAGTGCTGCATGAACTCTGGTTTATTCAACTAGCAGCTGGGAATTCATATTTTTGCATAAGATCTCCTGCATTTTTTCAGTTTGTTGAAATATATGTATATTTTTAAGCATGTATCCAAACAAACCCCATTTTGGGGCCAAGTGCACAATGCTGTCTCAGCCCTGAGGAAAAAATCGACATCCCCAAATTAAAATCCAGCTCAGGGTCTTTGATGTGCTGCTGACACATGATGCCCAGGTACTTTGCTAGAGAGTAGTGTCATAGGTGTTTAGTAGAAAGTGAACCAACCATTAAAATGTCCAGTGTGTCGGCCCCTGGGCAGCTGTGATGGTTTGTCACAAGCTGTGCTGATTTTTACCTTTGAAGCTGGGAGTTTCCAGGGCACCTTTAAAATTGATTTGTACACGTGGTTCAGTGGCTCACACCCATAATCCCAGCACTTGGAAGGGTTAGATGGGAGAACCAGTTGAGGTCAATAGTTTGAGAGTAGCCTGGGTGAAATCGTCGAACCCTATCTTGTTTTTTTCTGATTTTTTTTTTTTTTTGATCTCTTTCTTTTTCCCTAGACTGCTCAGCAGGATGAACACTATCTCTACCGAAAAACAAAACAAAACAAACCCATGGCCTGGTGAGGTAGATCAGGGCTGTGATCCCAGCACTGTGGGAGGCCGAGGTGGGTGGATCATGAGGTCAGGATTTTGAGACCAGCCTGGCCAGCATGATGAATCCCGTCTGTACTAAAAATACAAAAATTAGCTGGGCATGGTGGTGGGTGCCTGTAATCTCACCTAGTTGGGAGGCTGAGACAGGAGAATTGCTTGAAACCAGAAGGCGGAGGCTACAGTGAGCCGAGATGGCACCACTTCACTCCAGCCTGAATGAAAGAGCGAAGTTTCCGTCTCAAATAACAGTAACAACAAACATAAGCTGGTGTGGCAGCAATGCTATAGTGTCAGGCTACTTGGGAGGCTGAGGTGGGAGGATCCCTTGAGTTCAGGAAGTCAAGGCTGTGGTGAGCTAGGATCGTACCACTGCACTCCAGCCTCGGTGACAGAGTGAGACCAAACAAAAAGAAAGAAATTTGTTTGCTGAGTGTCCTTTAGCTGCTAGGTCCTGATCTGATCTCTGACAAAATGCCTGCCTGGCCGGGGCTGATGGTCTAGAAAGGACAACAGGTGAGTTGGAAGACAAAATAAATGTGTCAGATAAAACAGAGAATCTGGTGGGGACACATGACACAGAGAAAGCAAAGTGGGGAGAGGAGGGATGCAGCTTTGTACAAGTAGGTTACCAGTAGGGAGAGGGGCGGGCCAGTGGGAAGGCCCAGAGGAACCGAAGGACGACACTGGGGGAGAGGGGTCTGTGCTTGTTCGCCTCGAAAGCAGGGTGAGGACTGGGACTTTGACCTGGGGGAAGTCTACTGCACTCTGAGAACTGGGGTGGTGGAGACATGTGTCTGACTTTAGTCTTCAAAGGTTCTTCCTGGTGCTGGGTAGAGGAGACTTTCTTTCTTTCTCTTTTTTTGGAGATAGAGTCTCGCTCTGTCACCCAAGCTGGAGTGCAGTGGCGCGATTGTGGCTCACTGCAACCTCCGCCTCCTGGATTCAAGCCATTCTTCCACCTCAGCCTCCCAAGTAGCTGGGATTACAGGCACCTGCCATCACTGCCCGGCTAATTGTTGTATTTTTGTAGAGATGGCGTTTCACCAGTGTTGGCCAGGCTGTCTCGAACTCCTGACCTCAGGTGATCCGCCCACCTCGGTCTCCCAGAGTCCTAGGATTGTGGGCACGAGCCACTGCACCTGGTCTCAAGGAGACTTTAACACATTTGCCTCATGCCTGGAAGCAGGTCAGCCTCAACTGAATCTGGAAGAAGCTTGGTGACACTGCTGACTTTGCAGAAAAGCATGAGGGTGCTGAAGTCTTGAACCCTCCAGAATTGTCTGATCTTCATCGAGGTCCTGGATGTGGTATTGTTACACAATCAGAGTTCCCTGTTGGATGAAAATACTGCTTTAAAAAAAAAAATTAGTAGTCAGGTGCAGCGGCTCAAGTCTGTAATCCTAGCACTTTGGGAGACCAAGGCGGGTGGATCACAAGGTCAGTAGATCGAGACCATCCTGGCCAACATGGTGAAACCCTGTCTCTACTAAAAATACACGTGGGGTGGCCCGTGCCTGTAATCCCAGCAACTTGGGAGGCTGAGGCAGGAGAATCACTGGAACCTGGGAGGTGGAGGTCACGGTGAGCTGAGATTGCGCCACTGCACTCCAGCCTGGTGACAGAGTGAGACTCTGTCTCGAGGAAAAAAAAAAAAAAAAATTTAAATCCAAAATTTTAATATATAATGTTTATCGAAATATATACAAATTATTTGTTTAAAAATATATATTTATTTATTTTTAGAGATGAGGTCTCATTCTGTGTCCCAGGCTGCAGTGCAATGGTACAATTGTAGCTCACAGCAGCTTCGAACTCCTGGGCTCAGGTGATCCTTCCACCTTAGCCTCCCAAGTAGCTGGAACTGTAGACATGTGCCACCACATGCACCTAATCTTTAAATTTTCTGTAGAGGGTCTTGCTGTGTTGCCTAGGCTGCTCTTGAACTCTTGGCCTCAAGAGATCCTCCTGCCTTGGCCTCTGAAGTGCTGGGATTACAGGCATGAGTCACCATGCCCAGCCTATTAAAATACTTCTAAAATGCTGCTTTAGGCAACAGTGCAGCAGATTGGAAGCTACACACGAGACCTGCAGAGATGCCACAGCTCTCTGTGTATGTGACTGCTGCCCTCCAGGCTGTGGGATGGTTTGGCAAGGGAATGAAGCTGGGTTCAGTGCTCACAGTGTCTGTTCATATCCTCTCTCAAGCTTAGAGGTGATTTAGTTGAGGGAAGTGAGTTAGGAAATGTGGAGGTCACCAGAACCATGTTATCCTGGGCATATTCCATGAACCTGGAGGTGTGGAGAACCCAGCAACCCGCAGCAGAATGAGGTTTGCTGAGCTGGGTTTTTCATGGAGGTTAGGACCAGGGTCAGCCTGAAGGGAGTGGGCTTCCCTCTGTGTCTGGCTAGTCTAGTAATGGCCTCTTTTCTCCTGTGCAGAAACACACTGAGGAGATCACCAAGTTGCGGAATGATTTTGAGAGGCAAGTTCGAGGTCAGTTTCCCCCATGCTCATTGTGTAGGGTGGTGCCAGAGCCCCCATCAGAAGGGAACTTACCTCCAGAGCTTTTGAACTCAGGGAACACAGACTAGATTAAAACAGCCCAAGGCATGCAAGGGAAAGAACTTGGGAGTTTCCAAGGTCAGTGGACCCACTCAGAATCTCAGAACGACTTACTTCCATGTGAGTCTGGAAGGCTGTGATTATCACACACTTTCCCACTCCTAGCTAAAATCAGGAGTTATCAGCAGGTGGTACTCAGTGCCGTGGGTGGCATTCTTAAAATAGTCTTCTCATGATTCCTGGTCTGAGAAGGCTCCAATTTCAGAAGTCTGTCTGGTTTACTAATAAGAGCCTGTAGTCTGTGTCTGGATGGCCACACAGGCCTTGATTATGCTCCCTGGGGTCAGCTGACATTCAGCTGTTGGCAGTTACAGTGCAGGGAGCGATTAGCAATGCCTGTCACTGGCAAAGGCAGGTAGACAGTGGCATGTGTGCTGAGTATGAGCATCAGCAGAAAGCACTAAAGCCCTCTGTTCTCCTGCAGAGCTTGCTTGCAAAGCTGTTCTGACCACAGTGGGCGTTTGGGATCCTGTTTACAGGCTCCCTGTTTTATAGTCATAGGAGCACCTTCTTCCTTGCTAAGCGGCTATTTGTTGCTGCCTTTCAGAAATTGAGGCCAAGTATGACAAGAAGATGAAGATGCTGAGGGATGAGCTCGATCTGCGGAGAAAGACCGAGCTGCATGAAGTGGAGAAGAGGAAGAACGGCCAGATCAACACGCTGATGCAGCGCCACGAGGAGGCCTTCACTGACATCAAGAACTACTACAACGACATCACCCTCAACAACCTGGCCCTCATCAACTCCCTCAAGGTGAGGTGCTGCGCACGAGGCGGGGTGGGGGAGACAGACTCTGCCTGTGCTAGGATGTGGGCTGCAGAGTCCTGGGGATCCAGACCCCAGCCCTCCTCCCGACACACCCCATTTCATAACATTGTTTGACAATGGCCCTCTAGTGTCCCTAACTGAAATTCCTAAATAATGTAACCTGTCTATACATATTGTTAAAAGCTGTCAGGATAGTTCTTCACTGTAGTGAGGGGGAGGTAATCAAGTGTAATTGATATGTAAAAGCCTGGTGGAACTGCAGTGGGCATCCCATTGTGGCTGGAGTGGATGGGTGTCCTCATCACTCACATGCTGACAGTGAACTGCAGTGGGCACCCCATTGTGGCTGGAGTGGACGGGTGTCCTCATCACTCACATGCTGGCAGTGATGGGATCTTCTACAAGAGGCCACGGCCCTTGGTGTAATCTTGAACAGTGTAGTCCCTCCATCTGCGTGGAAGCTGTATTCCCAGAAAACTCAGAATAAGTTGCAACTGCAGAAATACTGTGTTTATACCTACAACGGGGATCTAAGCGCCAGTGTGCATGTGGCCTCAGGACCTGTTCGTGGGCAGGAGGGCCCCCTGGCTGCCCCTGCAGCCATGGCCCCTTTGGTTCTGCCTGCTAACCCCTCCCGGGCCCATGCTTGTGCCTGCAGGAGCAAATGGAGGACATGCGGAAGAAGGAGGACCACCTGGAGAGGGAGATGGCAGAGGTGTCTGTGCAGAACAAGCGCCTGGCGGACCCTCTCCAGAAGGCTCGCGAGGAGATGGGTGAGATGCAGAAGCAGCTCGCGAACTACAAGAGGGACAAGCAGATCCTGCTCGTGAGTTTCCTGTTGGATTTATCTCCCTCCTTGGCACCAGCCTCAGCTCAGGAGGAAGGAACATCACGGGGATCCCTGAGGCTGCACGTGGGGCTTGGCCCTCAGGGCAGGAAAGGAGACGGGGAGGCTGGCATTTCTCCTTTCTCAGCCTTGTTTTCTGGGGAAAGTCAAGTCTGGGGGTGTTTTGGAGACAGGCCCTCATCTTCACCGCATGCTACTGACCTGCCCTGGTAGGGCTCAGCTGCTGGTGTCCTGGAGCCTGGTCTTAATGGTGATGGTTTTTGGCCTTGCCATCTCCCAGGAGACTGTTACCTGATGATTGTGAATCTTGAATACTTTCTGTCTCTACTCCCTGTTTTCTCTACAGTGCACAAAAGCACGTTTAAAAGTCACAGAGAAAGAGCTGAAAGACCTGCAGTGGGAGCACGAAGTGTTAGAGCAGCGGTTCACCAAGGTGAGTGGGCACCAGGCTGGCCCTGCTCGGGCAGTGGTAGTGATGGGTCACGATGGGCCATTGTCTGCCAGCCAGGGACGGGGCTCTCCTTGTTGCCCTGGCCCCTGGAACAGCTTCAGGTGCCTTCACCATGTTTTTGGATTCTGAAGCTGTAACTCATCCCATAGCTTCTAAGAGGCAAAAACCTGTGGCCTATTTTGCATGTATATCCTGCAGGAGGCCTGGGGTCTCATGGGGAGCAGATCACACATGACTCACATGCATGTCCTGCAGGAGGCCTGTGGACTCGTGGGGAGTGGATCACACATGACTTTTGTTTTCTTAAGAGCTCCCCTCTGAGCACATGAAGGAGGCCTGGCGCCTTCAGCACATCTTTCTTCCATGTGTGTAGGTTTCTAAGTACTAACCTGTTACTCTCTCATTGTAAAGAAGTCATGGGGTCTTAAGTGTAAGTTAAAATGTGTCTCCAGGCCTGGCGCAGTGGCTCACGCCTGTAATCCTAGCACTTTGGGAGGCCAAGGTGGGTGCATCACCTGAGGTCAGGAGTTCAAGACCAGCCTGGCCATCATGGTGAAACCCCATCTTAAAAAAAAAAAAAAAGAGAAAATGAGTCTCCAGCTGCTCAGCACTGGTCTTCACACTGGCGAGCTTTGTGAGCTCCCTTCCTGGTTTCCTGCAAGCTCTAGTGTGCATGTGACTGTGGATTATGAACACAGGATCAGGCATAAGCACAGCTTACTTTCTAATCTCACAGTGTATCAGGCTGCAAATAGGAAGTGGTTTCATTCTTAGCCACATGGTGCTCTGTTTCGTGAATGTTTGATCGCTCATGTAGCTGACTCCCCTGTTTCTAATCCTCTGCTGTTGTAAGCATGGCTACCTCAATAAATTTGTCTTTGTGCACCTGTGTAAGATTGCTTCTTAGGAAAGTCAGTTCCTAGCAATGGGATTGTCGGGTCTGTGGGGGTCTGCACTGAGGATTCTGATCGTCTGTCCAGAGGGCCGTTCTGAGTCACACAGCTGCCAGGGTGCTGGAGGGGCCATTTCCATCCTTCCTCACCTGTACCACTTCTAACAGGTTTAAACCTGTGCACATGTGATTGGATGGGAAACATCTTTTAGCGTGTGCGTCTCAGATTTCTAAATGCTGGGTCTTGTCTCTGTCCCTGGACACTCCCTGCCTCTGTGCAGTTTCAAAGTTCTGGCCAAGGACCAGTCCAGCACCATGGGCCCCTCAGGCTTTGTCTGTGGTTTGCGTGGCTGGAGCATCTTACCTTAAGCAGCAGTGATGGGTGCTGTTTCTGTTCTCTTAATTGACATTTATGAACACAGACGGTTGTAGTGGGGTTGGCCCCTCAGGAACATCCCATCTGTCTGTCAGATCTAGACCCACCTTCAGAGATGCCTCGGGTGCTGCAGGACGTGCATTGCTGGGCTGTGCCAGCTCCTGGGTACAGCCCTGTTTGCACAGCTCAGGGGAAGGGCATCTGCAGGGCAGCCGGTGAGACCCTGAGGACTGCTGTGTTAGACAGGGACTCTTCCTCCCTGCTGTGGGTTTTGAGTGAACATTATTAGGAAGAGGAGAGCAGAGACGTGCCTGGGTTGGAGCCTTGTTCTCTGCCATATTTTCTTCTATTTGGATGTAGTTCCTGAAATTACCAAAGTCAGTGTCTCTTCTAGAGAACCGAGAGCTCAAATTTGTCAGCAAAATGCAGAGACCAAAGGCACTTACAGTCTAATGCATATGGACAAGGAACTGGATTTCAGCAAATCTGGGGAATTCTGACACCAGTTACAAGGAATGCAGGGCCAGGTGCTGTCTTGGAGGTGCTGCAGGTATCACAGGTTGTGGCTTTGAAAAAAGCTGTGGTGTTTTAGCATGGTCCTTTTTTCTTCCAAACAGTCGTAAATGTTTTTAAATCTACAGAGAACGTTCTAGAATTGGTCACACCACGTGTTCACAGTGGTGGGCTCTGGGAACTGGGGTTAAGGTGTTCACTTTTTTGAGATGGAGTTTTGCTCTTCTTGCCCAGGCTGCAGTGCAGTAGTGCAATCTCAGCTTGCTGCAACCTCTGCCTCCAGGGTTCAAGCAATCCACCTGCCTCAGCCTGCCTAGTAGCTGGGATTATGGGCACCTATGACCACACCCCGCTAATTTTTGTGTTTTTAGTAGAGATGGAGTTTCGCTGTGTTGTCCAGGATGGTCTCTAATTCCTGACTTCGGGCGATCCACCCACCTCAGCCTCCCAAAGTGCTGGGATGACGGGATGTGCGCCACCGTGTCAAGCTCAGGCTGTTCACTTTTTTATAGTCTTTGACAAAGTCTAGATTTGTTTAGAGTGCACAATTCGTAGAACAATTAGGAGGTGAAAAAGAATGGTTTTACTGGCCGGCAGGCAGCTGGCTCCAAGGCTGTTCAGGTCCTCCATTTGTGGGGCAGGCAGCACGTGGGATCCAAGAGAGCGCATCCTCCATGGGGACCCACCCGCAGCTCTGCCAGCTGGGTGCCCTGGATCCCGCGTCTTAGCTGAACCCACAGCCCTCACTTGGAGCCACCCATGGCTTTCAGGGTGGGGCTGCTCCAGCTCTTACCAGGACTCATGGCTTCAGAGACGCCTTCCTTAGGGGAAGGCTTACGCTGTTCTCCTCCTGCCTTCCACCGTGTGGACAGCTGTACAGAGGGCCAGGGTGTGGGCAGTGTGGACAACAACCAGCTGGGTGCTGTGGAAGTGGGTACTGTTGGAAAGCCACCTCCCATAGAAAGAAGCACCGTGTTTGGGCGGGTGCAGAGGTGGGAGACAGCTTATCCCCAGGTGACATGTCCCCAGGGGAGGGGCCTCACAGCCCACCCAGCGCTGTCCCTGCAGGTGCAGCAGGAGCGGGATGAGCTCTACAGGAAGTTCACTGCTGCCGTCCAGGAGGTGCAGCAGAAGACCAGCTTTAAGAACCTGGTGCTAGGGCGCAAGCTGCAGGCCCTCAGCGCCGCTGTGGAGAAGAAGGAGGTGCAGTTCAACGAGGTGCTGGCGGCCTCCAACCTGGACCCTGCATCCCTGACGCTGGTGTCCCGCAAGCTCGAGGTAGGCCCTTGAGGTGGGCTGCCCCAGTGGGCGGCCTCTTCCCTATGGCAGGACCCTTCTGTTTTGTGCTGTGCCTCCTAGGACAGGCACAGACCCCTCGGTCAACCACTGGGCGGGGCATTCATGGGCTTCCTGTGGCCGGAGAACAGAGCGGCGTGGATGCCTCTCGCCGTCTTAGTGGTCTTCTCATCAGTTCTGCTGAAGTCTCTTGATCTTCCCTGGACCCTGTGTGACCTCACGGTGTGTCCTCAGCCTCTGGGTCTCTGCTCACTCCAGTTCTCAGGCCTGGCTTATCTGAGCACCTAAGGCCCTAGTCATCTCACTGCAGCCTGACAATGTGTGTGGGAGTGGAAAAGCCACATGGAGTCTCTGTGGGCCTGAGCGCCTCCATTGGTGACAGCAGACCCAGACACAGGCCTGGAGGATGGTTGCACCTCCTGAGCTCTCAGCCCAGGCACCACCCCCATCCTGGGACAGAGAGGGCACCGGGAGGCCCTGAGATGGGCTGGGTTAGGACATGGGCAGTTACGGGCATGGTAAGTGCAGGGTCTTGGGAGCCTGGGGACCCTGACCCCACTTTGCAGGTACTGGGGACATGAGGTCTAAGAAGAGCCCGGAACATTCCATCATTCTGTGTCACGGTTACGTATGGTGCTGCTCTGCTAGGGTGTCCTGGGATAAAGCAGGTGAGGCCTGGGCCCCCCAATGGGGAGAGGCGGCATGCCCTGGAGGATCAGGAGGATGCTGGAGCCTCAGACTGCCTCACAGGTGCCTAACACCTGTGTCTAGCTTCTGGACCTGGGCTTGGCCTCTGTACCCTGGACCTGGTTAGGGAAAGTCACAGAAGGAACAGGCACAGGGCAAAGGTCTCTGACTGACACTGGAATCCTGGCCAGTTGAGGCACAGCCTGTGGCTTTCTTTGGGCCATTTAAGATGCATGACGCATGCCCCTGGCCCAGCTGCTGTCCCTGAGCTTACAACAGCTGGTCGTGAGGTCTTCACCAACAGGCCCCACAGAGGGAGACTGGCTGCTCACAGGGACGCAGCCTTCGGGGCCACCGCACCCTGTCTGACTCTGCTGCTGTGCTGGGCTCGTCCTTCAGCACACAGATACCTGGGACCTCGGCTCGAGGCTTCCTCACTGTGGAAGCATCTGTTATCCTGAGAACATTCACAGATGGTATTTTTTTGTTTTGTTTCCGAGACTGAGTCTTGCTCTGTCACCCAGGCTGGAGTGCAGTGGTGCCATCTTGAAACTGCAGCCTCTGCCTCCCAAGTAGCTGGGATTACAGGCATGTGCCACCATGCCTGGCTAATTTTTGTATTTTTAGTAGAGACAGTTTCACCATGATGGCCAGGCTGGTCTTCAATGCCTGACCTCAAGTGATCTGCCCGCCTTGGCCTCCGAAAGTGCTGGGATTACAGGTGTACACCATCACACCTGACCTTATTTTTGTATTTTTAGTAGAGATGGGGTTTCACCATGTTGGCCAGGATGGTCTCGATCTCCTGACCTCATAATCTGCCTGCCTTGGCCTCCCAAAGTGCTGGGAATACAGGCGTGAGCCACTGTGCCTGGCCTCCAGATGGCGTTTTTAAGGTGGTTGGTCCACACGCAGTTGAGCTGAACACAAATGCATGTGCTCACCACTGACATCAGGCCGAGGGCTGACCTCATTCAAGTCAGCTAATCTCTTTTTTTTTTTTTTTTTCTGTCGTCCAGGCTGGAGCCCCTTGCTGAGCTGCCCTGGGGGCACCAGGTGTTGGACAGATGCAAGGCTAAGGGGCTGGTTCTGAAAGGCCTGTCAGCTGTGTCTGAGTTTCGGGCCCATGGTAACCATGGAAGAACTGGACAGAGCCTACCCTGCCACTGCTGGGGATCGAAGGGCTGGGGGGACAGCTTGGGGCCAGCACAGAATGGGGATGGGCAGAGGGTTTGAGAACTGCCCAGAGGCTGAGTCGACCAGCGGGGCTGGGAGGGGCCAAGGTGGCTTGGTGTTTGCACACTGGGGAACTGTGGGACCCTGGTCAACTGAGATGGCCTGGCTCTCGGGGCCTGAGGGAGTGAGGCTGAGTGAGGTCTCACCGGGGCCAGAGGCAGACTCTGAGATTGTCTGCTCAGCACTGGGTGCTGTGAGCACAGGCAGGTGAGGGAGTGAGGTCCCACTGTTGGGAGGAGGAGGAGGCGCATTCCCAGCTCCTGGCTGAGGCTGCACCCGGCCGGCTGCTGAACCATTGAGATGAGGGTCACTGCTGCTGTACCGACACACCAGGGTGAGCATGGAGCCAAATGTGGGTCAGCTCTTCCTTTCTCGGTCATTGTTACTATGACTTCTAAGTGAGGAATCTTCTGGCGAAGTGACAGAGGCCCCGGCAGGGTCATTGTTGGCAGGCTGCGCAGGTGTGAGGGCTGCTCTGTGAGGGCAGCAGAGATGGCCCTAAAGCTAGGCTGGGCCCAGTCATGGCCACAGGCAGTAGCCCAAGAAGCCCCCGGCCTGGCCATGTGGTGAGACCCTTGCCCACATCTGGGTGGGCCAACGCTGCTGAAGACCACTTTTTGCTGTTAGGAAAAGGTGGGAGAATACATTCACAAGCTTCGAGACATGTAAGCAGTGTGTGAGTGGTGTTCAGTGGACAGTCTCCATGTGTGGCTGCACATTGCCTGCCGTCACCTCATCTGCATTTCTTGTGGGTTTGGACTTTATTTTTTTTTTTTTTTTGAGACTGTGTCTTGCTCCACCCAGGCTGGAGTGCAGTGGTGCAGTCTCAGCTCACTGCAACCTGTTTCCCAGGTTCAAGCGATTCTTGTGCCTCAGACTCCCAAGTGGCTGGGATTACACAGGTGTGAGCCAGCACGCCTGGCTAATTTTTATATTTTTAGTAGAGATAGGGTTTCACCACATCAGCCAGGCTGGTCTCAAACTCCTGACTGCAAGTGATCTGCCTGCCTTGGCCTCCCAAAGTGGTGGGATTATAGGTGTGAGCCAGCATGCCTAGCTAATTTTTGTATTTTTAGTAAAGAAGGGGTTTCGGCCGGGCGTGGTGGCTCACGCCGGTAATCTCAGCATTTTGGGAGGCTGAGGTGGGTGGATCACCTGAGGTTAGGAGTTCAAAACCATCCTGGCCAACATGGTGAAACCCTGTCTTTATTAAAAAAAAAAAAAAAAAAAATGGGTTTCGCCGTGTTGGCCAGGGTGGTCTTGAACTCCTGACGTCAAATGATCCACCATCTTGGCCTTCCAAACTGCTGAGATCACAGGCGTGGGCTGCCTCGCCCGGTCTGGACCATTTTATGGAGACGTGTGGCTCCGTGTTCTCTGCTCCTCCTGTGTTTTCTCTCAACCCTTGGAGACCTTTTTCGGCTGAAAACCCTGTGTGGATGGAGGCACCGTCAAACCAGGCTGTTGTTCCCTGGGTCTCTGAGGAGAGCCTGGAGCCCCTAGGCCACCCCCACTGCATCGGTCAAAAGATGAGTCTCAAAGTCTCACCTCTCTCTCCTCAGGATGTTCTGGAATTGAAGAACAGCACCATCAAGGACCTGCAGTATGAGCTGGTCCGGGTCTGTAAGGTACGATGTGTGCTGCCCTCCCTCAGAGACACCCTCAGCGCCAGCCTGTTCTAAATGCAGATGCTCTCTGAGGACCCCACCGGTGCCCACTTTGTACTTCGTTTGACACAGCAGCCATCACTGTCCCCACGTGAGGGTGCAGTCATGGCTGAGGGCAGCTGGATTCTGTTGGTTTGGGGCACAGCACTGTCATCTAGGCCATGTCTCTGCTGGGATGGGTGTGGGGGCACCTGGACCCTTCCCTGGTCAGCCCCTTCCCCTGGGTAGGGAGGGCATGAGGAACCTGAGGGAGGAGCATCCACCCAGGGGCCAGAGCAGAGCCAGGGGCAGAGCCTCTCAGACCACGGCTCTGCCCTGTCTCTGCCCTCTGCCTCTGTGTCCTCATTTGTGGAATGGGAATAGTGACGGCCTCTCCCTGTTTTGACACCTGAGCGGGGTGATGTCTTCCACACAGCACATGACTGATAGGCCTTTGGCTTTATCCTTTTACACCGTGAGGCTCACGATGCTTGCCCCTCCACAGAGCTGCACTCAGCTCTGGTGGGCCTGGGCGCGGGGACCCTGAGCTCTGGTGGGCCTGGGCATGGGGACCCTGAGCTCCAGTGGGCCTGGGCGTGGGGACCATCAGCTCTGGTGGGCCTGGGTGCGGGGATCCTCAGCTCCCTAATGCTCCCCTGTCCCCACAGGCCCACAATGACCTGCTGCGCACGTACGAGGCAAAGCTGTTGGCCTTCGGGATCCCTCTGGACAACTTGGGCTTCAAGCCCTTGGAGACAGCTGTGATCGGGCAGATGATAGGCCAGGGCCCTGCGGGACTGGTGGGCACCCCCACGTAGCCGCCCCTTTGGGGGGGCACAGCCCCCAGAGCCAGCCTCGGAACTCTCTAGATGACACCCCCGTTCACACCAAGGACAGCAAGTGTTTTAGATTTCATCATCAGCAAATGAAAGCTTTTCACATGTCCTTCCATCGTCTTGCCTGGCTCCGTGGACAGAACTGCCTGCAGGACCCTCACCCATGGTGTCCCCACCACTTCCTTCGCTGGGTGCATGTCCAGCCTGTGCCTGTGCCTGCCCCCTGGGCACCTCCAACCACAGACAGCAGGACCTTCTCAGAGGGCCCTGCGCTCACCTGGGGCTGGGCACAGTGTGCTGCCTGTCTTCACGCCATTGTTGTCCCAACAGCTGGACGGCTTTGCGGGTGCTGGCAGTGACTTTATTGATGCCTGAGTCACAGCTGCCCACTGGGAATCTCCAGGACTTCCCTAGGAAGTGGGTGACCCTGGTGTTCCCTGATGAGCACAAGGCCCACTCTGTTGGGGTACAGGGGCACAGCTCACATATGGGAAGGGGCAGGTGGCCTCCTGCTGCCAGGCTTGGCTCTAGCTCCCTCGGTAGGTGGTATAGGACCAGGGGCTCAGCAGCAGGGGCACGTGGAACTTCTGGGCCTCGCTGGGGATGGTGAAAACAACCTGAGGTGGAGAGAAGGACAGGGAGAGGGTGAGGGGGCAGCAGCAAACTAGCCCCAGCCGTGCCTGGGAGAGCTCAGCAGCCCAGACAGAGGGTCTGGGATGGGGTGAACCCTCCCCACCAGAGGGACATTACTCAGAAGCCACAGCCCTGAGCATAGCCATAGCCTGACAGGGCAGATGCTTCTGTGTGGCTGCAGTGCAGGGTGAGGCAGTGAGGTCAGGCACAGAGCTGGAGGCGGCTCAGAGGAAAACCTCTATCAACAGAGGGGATGAGTCACCCCTGGCCCAATCTCCCCGCAAAGCCTGACCCTGGGCAGGTCAGCGATGGGTGTGTCCTATAGAGTCTTGCTCTACCTGGAAACCTTTCTTTTGGGAGCTCAAAGCAAGTGAGCTCACCCACCTGCCACCACCCAGGACCAGTCTGCTCACTGCCTAAATGATGCTGGCCAGCAGGACCTGACCTGCCGGTCCCAGTGAGTCACAGACCTCAGCCCTCCAGCGCACCAGGCGCTCACCTCCACGTATGGGTAGAAGCTTTCCTGCCCCCTCTTCCTCCAGTAGGCTGTAGTGTCGAAGGTGAGCTTGTAGGTGCCTGCCTTCATCTGGTCCCACGTCAGGAGTCCAGGGCAGCGGCCATCTGGGTCTGTGTAGCTGGGGAGAGGGATGAGGGTGCAGAGGGAGATGAGGAGCTCCCCACCGCAGCTTTCCTGGGTCTGCACGCCACCTGTCAGACTTGGGTGAGCAAGTCTCGGCCTGCAGCTCGGGAGCAGTCAGGACCCCACAGCACTGTCTTTAGAGCATCATAACACAGAGAAGAAAAAGGGAAAAGGTTCCCATAATTTACCCCATGAGCAGTAACCACCTTAGAAGCTGGCATATATTTTTCCAGATTTTCTCTATGCATATTTGTTGACAAACTTAACTCATCAAATGGATTATAGTATTTGTATTATTTTATAAGCTATGGTTTTCACTGAATATATTGTGTGTGGCTTTCTGGGTCAATAACTGCCAAACCCTCACCACAGAGGCAGGCCTGTCCACTGCACGGAGCACACCCATCGTGTGCCCTGGTGCCTTGTCAGGGTCCTGAATGCCTGTGGCTCTGCCCACAGTCACCTCTGGAAAACCTCACATCGTTCTTGCCAGCTGGTCTTTAAAGTGTGTGACTCAGGCTGTGATTAGAAAGAGCAGGCTGGGTGCAGTGGCTCCCGCCTTTAATCCCAGCACTTTGGGAGGCCATGATGTCAGGAGTTCAAGACCATCCTGGCCAACTACGGCAAAACCCCGTCTTTACTAAAAATACAAACAAATCAGCCAAGGTGTGGTGGTCCTCGCCTGCTATCCCAGCTACTAGAGAGGCTGAGGCAGAGAATTGCTTGAACCTGTGGGGTGGAGGCTGCAGTGAGTTGAAATTGCACCACAGCACTCCAGCATGGGTGACAGAGCGAGGTGACATCTCAAAAAAAAAAAAAGTATAGTACGTGTGTATGTGGGGAACCTCCATGAGACTCGTAGCCCACATGGTGCTCTCCTAATTCCTCAGGTGGGACCTGGAGGAATTAGTGCCTCAGGCTTTTGCGAATGGTCAAATGAAGATGGAGGAGCGGCACGGGCACACCTGATCCTGTGGGCCCAGCCCTGCTCTTCTGGCTGGAAGAGGGGCTTGCTTCCCATGTAGGGCCATAAGGCCTGGGGGGGTGACACCCACCTGGGAAGTGCCCATGGAGCCTGTGTCTGGGGCAGTAGGCAAGGCCCCATGGAGGACTGAGGGACTCGGTGCCCTCAGGCCTGGCTGGGAATCCCAGCACAGACCTGGGCTTGCTGTAGAAGGAGTAACCATGGTGCTGGCCTCAGGGTGTATGGAGAATGGAAAGCAGTGTCCAGCTACTGCCTGGCACAGGGCTAACTGTGATGTCAGAGGCAGTGAAGTCTTCCATTTCCCCTCAGGGCTCACCTAACCCACCCTCCACCACCGCACAGCTGCCAGGAACAGGCAGAAACACTCCGACCCCATGAGGCGCTCAGTGCCATGAGTTGGAGGTGGGAGGAAACAGCACCCCTACTCATTTCCCGTACTGGGCTGAGAGAGGCAGGAGGGAGGCCCCTCGTCCCTCCCCTCACCCTGGGCGGACTGGAGGGTCAGCAGCAGTCAGCCCTGCTCTCCAGCCTCACTGCCCTGGCTCCCTAGCCCCTGCCATCTGTCTCAGGGCAGGACCTGCCTCCCAGCGTCTCGCGCCTACCTAGTCCTCAGCTCCATCCACTGCTGGCTGTGGTCCTCCAGCCGGGACAAGCAGAGGCAGAGGCCCCTGGCTGGGACCCCGGAGGCGGTATCCAGCACATGGGTGGTCAGTGGGCTGCCCAGAGGCTCCATGCTGCTGCCCTAGGCCAGGAGAAGGAGGCCAGGGTGAGCGTCTGGGGCCCTGTGCCCACCCGCCCCAATCCTGCAGTCCATACCAGCTGTAAGGTGTAAACAGACCTCTGGACAGTCCTCCCAGTGCCCAGGGGACAGGGGGCAAGGGTCACTGGAACTGCTTAGTCAGCTGAAGAGGCTCCAAACGTCAACAGCGGACCCGTGCCTCCCGACCCTTCCCGGCCAATCCCCCCGATCTCCCGCTCCCCCACCCCACTGGGGACCCAGTCTACCTGCCCACAGCCCCCCACGAAAGGGCCATCGTCCCCCAGGCCCTCTGGTCTCTGGGCTCTCTCCTCTGCCCCCTTTCCTGGGTCCTCGACGCTCAGTCCCGCCCTAGGCAGCTGAGGGGACAGGAGCCCGGCATATCCAGGCCTGGTCCCCTAACCTCCTGGAGGCCCAGGTGTCGCTGGAGCCGCAGCAGTCGCAGGGCGGCCCCGGAGCTCATCCTGCCCCACCGACTGCGATGCCCGCGGGCAGAGGGAAGGGCAGGGCCGTCACTCTGCCCCGGACCACCTCGTGCCCACCAGGAGGACCCCAGCGGGGCTTTGCCTAGGAAGGGGCGCTGGCGGAGAATCAGGGCGCAGAGACCTGGAGCCCGCAGCGGAGTCGAGGACAGGGGGGCGGGGCGGGCCGGGGCGGGCGCAGGCCGGGGCCGGGAGGCGGGGCTGAGGCGGAGCCGGGGGCGGGGCGGCCGGTGGTGGGGGTGGGGCCGGGAGTGTGGGGCGGGGCCGGGGGCGAGGCGCGGGGGTTGGGGGGCCGCGGGCCAGCGGGTGGGGCAGGATTGGGGTCCGCGCCAGGTTTGGAGGCCCACAGGTTTGCCATGGAAGCCCCTTACGGGGAAGTACGGTTAAGATTAGCCGAGACAAAGCGGACTTGACCCAAGCCAGGTAAGCAAGTTCTATTCACCTGCTGGGCTGCCCCCTAACGATCAGAGGAGGCAGCCCCAGCTTACAAAATGAGGGTGTATACGAAGTTAGGGGGGCGGAAGGGAGTTTCGGGACCTACATAATCTACCAGCTTGTAACAGGAACAGGTCGTTTTTCAGCTTTCGACAGACTTACATTATTCTGTGACTTTTGTGGCGCCAGTTTAAAAAAAACCAGGCCGTGTAAACAGGAGTCTGAAGGGAGGTTCGTTTTCCCGTGGCCGCCCCAGGTGGCTGCGTTCAGGCAGGTGCTCAATCGCAGCAGGTCCGGCAGCTTTGCTGTGGCGCCTAGACAGGAATGCAGCTGCAGAGCAATCCGAGTGGGGCTTCAGCTGCCCCTAACGATCCGGTGTTTCAGTAGGTAATGGAAGAGGGGCTGCTTCTTGCTGGATGGGGGCACGTTTGTTTGGGAGGCTAGGTTGCAGGGGTTGCCGTTCCAGGAGCTGTTGGTGTTCTTGGAGCGGCTTCATATCTTGTATTGCCCCATGGGTGAAAGCTTTAACACGGTCTTGTAAAAACTGGGTGAGGAGTGGTAAGAGGCAGGGGCAAAATGCTAGAGAGGACGGGGTTCTGGCGGGGCCTACGAGGGGCAGTAGCCAGGGCACCCAGGAGTTTCGGAATCACTCGAGGCAGGTGGAATGACTAAGTTTTTGTGCTCGGTCACTGAGTTTTTTTTTTTTAGACGGAGTTTTGCTCTTGTTACCCAGGCTGGAGTGCAATGACGCAGTCTCGGCTCACCGCAACCGCCGCCTCCTGGGTTCAGGCAATTCTCCTGCCTCAGCCTCCTGAGTAGCTGGGACTACAGGCATGCACCACCGTGCCCAGCTAATTTTTTGTATTTTTTTTGGTAGAGATGGGGTTTCACCATATTGACCAGGATGGTCTCGATGTCTTGACCTCGTGATCCGCCCGCCTTGGCTGTACTAGCCCTGATTCATTGTGGTAGAATCAGCACTGTTCATTTAAAAATAGGCATAAACCTTTTTCAGCAGTGGGGAGGTCTAGACCTCTGCAGTTTTGTAGGGTGAATTCTGCTATAAAGAGTCTAGTTGGTTTTGGAGATGAGTGACAGAGTCTGTTTCTTCTAGTGACAATTGGAAGTCTCCGGAGAGATTGCTTATTGGCTTTTTGGCTAAGATCAAGTGTGGAAGTCTTTGGAGAGTGACCGGAAATGTGGTAACGAGGTTCTCAGGCTTCCGGGTCCTGACTCGACACTGGTGGTGACTCTGAGGGCTAGTAATAAGGGAATGGACAGTATTGGTCTTTTTGGGCAGGCATGTAATGTAGCAGGGACAGGGAGTTCTTGGTTTGGAGGACAAGTCTAATGTGGGGGCAAGGTAGACTAGGGTGCAAGTACCTGTCCAGTGGGTGGGAGGCAGAATGGGCTCTGGACCCACAGAGGAAGAAGGTGCCTGCCGTGTTAACGCAGACAGACGAGTGGATTGAGACTAGGTGTTGGAGTGCCTAGTTTCCTCATTTGGAGAGACTAGGATCAGCTTCAGCAACTCAGAGTGAGGAGGAGAGAGAGATCCCTTCGAGGCAGGAATGCAGAGGGCTTGAGTAAAGAGGCCGTGAGCTTCAGGGAAAACTGACTCTGGCATAACATTATGTGACAAAGAAGGATGTCAAAGTATTTTACCCCATTACTAGTTTATTTGCCACGTTTTCTTATTTATTTATTTAATTTATTTATTTTTGAGATGGAGTCTCTGTCACCGGGCTGGAGTGCAGTGGTGTGATCTCAGCTCCCTGCAGCCTATACTCTCTGGGTTCAAGCGTTTCTCCTGCCTCAACCTCCTGAGCAGCTGGGATTACAGGCACCTGCCATCTTGCCCAGCTAATTTTTTTATTTAGTAGAGAAGGGGTTTCATCATTTTGGCCAGGCTAGTCTCGAACTCCTGACCTCAGGTGATCCACCCACCTCAGCCTCCCAAAGTGCTGGGATTACAGGTGTGAGCCGCCGTGCCAGGCTACAGTCTTTTATCTTAACCTGAACATTTTATATCTATTGCCCCCAGGTCTTTCTTTAGACAAACTGAACCAATAATCAACCAGAAAATGTTTAAATTTACCTGTAATGACCTGGAAGCCCCTCCCCAGCATTCCCCCACCTCGCCTCCCACTTCTTTGAGTTGTCCTCCTTTCTGGACTGAACAGTGTATTTCTTAATGTATTTGATTGATGTCCCATGCCTCCCTAAAATGCACAAAACCAAGCTGTGCCCCAGCCACCTTGGGCGCATGTTCTCAGGATCTCCTGAGGGCCGTGTCATGGGCCATGGTCACTCATATTTGGCTCAGAATAAGTATCTTCAAATATTTTACAGAGTTTCACTCTTTTTGTTGACACAAGATTAAAGAAACATCCATAAAATAGGAATGCTGGATGATGACAGGAGAAGCGAGAAACTATCAGGCAGCAATTTTACATAACATCAAGAAAGGAGCTGTTAGTATTAGCTACAGAGATGAGCCTGGGCTGATAGGACCCTAATGAACAAACAAAAAGTGGGGATCTGCTGGTGGAGACCTTCTGGGTTCACACAGTGCTAGGTGTGACCCATGCCCACCCAGACTTAATTATACACTCATTGCCCACACTCCCACCAGTGCCATGGCTGTTCCAAGCATGGTATTTAGTATGAAACGGTGGCATCTCAATTCTAAGAAATCTCTACTTTTTTCCTATAAAACCTCATGGTTATTCCACCACCTAATTGGAAAAACCTGTAAAATTAGAACCCCAAATTCCATCATGTGTGGGAATGTCCTGAGTACATCTGCAGTCCCATGCTTGAGTGTGTACTTTTGCTTTGCAATAAAAGCTTCTTGCCTTTGGCTTCATGGGGACTCCTCCCTGAATTCTTTCTATGACAGTGTCAAGAATTTGGAACACAAGCCGTGGCTGGGGTTTCACCAGCATTTAAAGACCAACCCCAAGCCCACCAGCAACTGCAGCCTCAACCTCCCAGACTCAAGCGATCCTCCCACCTCAGCCTCCTGAGTAGCAGGGACCACAGGGGTGTGCCACTACTCCAGGCTATTTTTTTTGAGGGGTAGGTGGGTAGATACAGGGTCTAACTAACTATGTTGTCCATGCTAGTCTTGAACTCCTGGGATCAAGCAATCCTCCCACCTTGGCCTTTTGAAGTGATGGGGTTACACGCATGAGCCGCTGCACCTGGCCCTTGTTAACTTCTGATTAACCCCAGTTCCAGAAATGCCTCCAAGATTTCTACTTTATCTACTGTTCCTTGTGCAGGTGCTTATCATAAAACCTGTACTTAGGTCAAAACTATCTTTACAGCAATGTAGTTTGGGAAGTAAAACAAAAGAAAACAAAACACCCCTGTCTTGATGTTTTGCACAAATTACAGGTTATGATATATATAGCATTCTTGTCTTTTCCTGGAGGGTCAGCTTTAATTGTCCTTATAGACCATGCACACCCTTTCCCTGTGGTATATAAGCCTGGCTAGGGTGGGAAGAGGTAACAGCAAGGAGATCTGCCTGTTCAGCTGCCACTCAAGACCATGCTTCTACTTTTTTTTTTTTTTGGAGATGGAGTTCAATTTGTTGACCTTGGTAGCGCCAGCTGATCCATCAAGTGTAGGGTCCACGACATGTCTCAGGCACTGATCTTAGAACACTTCAGCAAGGCCAGAATCCTGTAGCCTCCAGCTGCATGACACCTAAACCATCATTTCTAATCTTACAGCTAGCATTAGTCCAGCAAAGGCTATGTAGTTCCCAGGCAAGAAGGAGTCTGCTTTGGAAAAGGGCTGTTACTAGAAGCAAGATGGCGTCAGTTAAGTTAGAGCTCTTTCACTGCCCAGCCATAATTTTGCAAAGGTGGTTTCCGTCCCAGCTACCTGGGGGTGCTGAGGTGAGTGGACCGCTTGAGCCCGGGAGGTCAAGGCTACAGTGAGCTGTGTTCACATTACTCCACTTCAGCCTCAGTGACAAAGCAAGACGCTGTCTCAAAAAATGAAACAATAAGAAGCATGGTCTTTGCTGGGCATGGTGACTCATGCCTATAATCCCAGCACTTTGAGAGATGGGTGGATCACTTGAGGCCAGGAGTTCGAGACCAGCCTGCCCAACACGGTAAAACTCCATCTCTACTAAAAATACCAAAATTACTGGGTGTGGTGATGCATGCCTGTAATCCCAACTACTTGGGAGGCTGAGGCAGGAGAATGACTTGAACTCAGGAGGCAGAGGTTGCAGGGAGCCATTTTTCTCTACTGCCTCATGTATTTTGGGGAGTTACAGCTTGACTGAATCAATCTCAGCAGCTTGCTTTTATTCTCATAGGAAAAAAACCACTAATGGCATTTCTACGGATTTTCCTTAAGTTTGTCAACTGAAGAATGATGAGGTTTCACAGATTTGGAAAGGAGAGCTCTATTTCTCATCAAGAGTTGCAGCCTGGTCATTTGGACAGGCGGGAAAGCATTGTCTCTGGCCAGAAGCCAGAAATAGGCACGTCAAGGGGCAGAAGACTGAGACAGGGATTTATACCGAATGGCTTGGCCAGATTTACATACCCCTATAAACTATAAGAGGAGTTATGAATATTTATGAGAGGAGAAATGTGTGCATTTGTGACTGAGCTTCCTGCCTCTCTCTGGGTCCAGTGTTCAAAAAATGTCACTGTTAGCACGACTTGAAGGTGGAGTTTTTGGGACTCTGACCTCCAAGGTGAAGTAGAGAATGCAGTGACCCTCACTATGCATTCTCTGTAGATTGGCTGGAACCACTGCCTTGTTGGTGGTCTTTTAGTAGGGAGGAATGCAGTTAATTGTATTGAAACTGCAAAAGGGCCATAGCAGTTGTGGTGGTGGAGTTCCTCAAGAGGGCGGGTTTCTCCCCAGCTCTACCAAAAATATACAAGATTAGTTGAGTGTGGTGGTGCATGCCTGTAATCCCAGCTACCCGGGAGGCGGAGGCAGGAGAATTG